TAATTTTTCACAAACATTAAGAAGGAAATGTATTCATTACATAGAAGATTTCTCAATGTGGAAAATCTCTGGTAAGTCACAAATTGGTACTCTGCAGTGCAGAAGCTGCCTGTAGGGGGGCAAGAAGGGTTATGTCCTTCCTGTCTGAGGGCTGATACATTTCTTACATTGTTACTTAAGGGAGAGTGTATGTTTTCCGACCTCTTATTCTATGACTTACAATTTCACAATAATATTTTTTGGTTTTATTTTTTAATATTTTAACAATGTTTCTATATTTTTTGTTTTTTGTATTAGCTAAAAAAAATGGTATAAGGAACAGTGAGTGATTTATTAAATAACAGCTAAAACCAACTATATACTGAGCATTATTCCTTTTGATCTCAAGAAGAATTCCTTCTCGTCCTATATACTTTTTTTTTTTTTTAACTTTTGGTTTGGTGATTATCCACTTTTAAAAATCCTATGCTCTTGGAAATTACAAAATTATTTAGGGAAGACAAACCATAAGTCCAGCAGGATTGTTTGGTATGTCATTTTGCCTCAGTTCTGAAGTATTTTTTTAATCTGCTCTGTCCGCAGTGGTAGCCAGTAGCTACATATAGCTACTGAGCACTTGAAAAACGGCTTGTGAGATTGAAAAATTGAATGTTTTATTTCATTTGAATCCATTCAAATTTAAACAGTTCAGTATTTTGGGGGCAATTTGAGTATGTGAGTTTACTTTTTCTATTGTAAATTTTATGAAATTAATGCAGTTCAAGTAGTTCTAAGCCAAATTTAGCATCCAAATTGGGTAGAATTGGGCATAAAATTCATACTGCAATTTGAAGACTTATGAAAATAGAATATGTCATTAATATTTTTTACATTGCTTTCACGTTTAAATGACAATATATTGAGCTTTAAAAAGTTAATTTCAAGTGTTTTTCTTTTAACATTTTAATATTGCTAGTTAAAATTATGTATGTGACTCAATGTTATGTTGGGCAGTGCTGCTTTAGATGGTACTAACCATGGTTCTGGTACCAAATTTGGGTTATCATATACCTAAAATAAACTGCAGAGATAAACTTTCTACTTAACTTCTTTTTTAAAATCTCTGTCAATTTTATCAGCCTCCTACCTGGTGCCCTTGCTTTCATTTTCTCTAATTTTGCCCATCAAAATTCTTAGTTATCTTCTAAAAATACAAATAATGTAAAACCTGTATTGATTAATACTCTTTCAAATTATTTATCATAAAATACAACCTGCCTTCTACTCATACCAACCCCTTCTTTTGACATTCACATAGTAAGGCCATTCCTGAACACCATGCCCTCCATTACCACACGCTATTTTGTACACGCTATTTCTTTTGTCTGAAATAAATGTTAGCCTTTAACACTGTCTTCCCTTGTCTTCAATTCTGCCAACAAAGTGAATATGCACCAGTCACTCTGATTAGACTTTGGAATTAATGATACAGGCTTATAATGGTACATTTTCATTACTTGATATTGTCCCACTTTAGAAGGTATATTTTCAGAACAGGAACCTTGTCTTGTTTGAATTTTGGTTTGGCTTGCTTTCTCAGTGATTAGCATCTAACTGGGTTCCATAAATATCTATTAATTGAAGAATTAGTACAGTGAGAAAAGTATTATTTCAGTGACCCATTGTTGACCTCCTTCTACTGAAGGCATTGGAATCATGCATGTAGGCTTAGAATCTCAGCTCTACATTTAGTAGATGTAAGATGACTTGGTTAATTTACTTTGTGATAGTTAAATGAGATAACAGTATCTATCTTGCAAGTTCATTGTGAGATTAAAATGAGTTAGTATATATAAAGTGTTTAATATGTGCTTGGTGACATCTAAGCTTGCAAAAATATTAATTATGAAAATTGTCATAATACAGCCTAAACTAATTTTTCTTTTTCTCTCAGGCAGTACATCACAGGTTTTAACTGGAATTCGAAAACCCAGTGTTACAGAAACCAATGAAGTAGGAAGAAAAATCCAATTTTGAGCAATTATTGCATCAACAAATATCTACTTTACAAGGAACTTCTGATTATCATTAGAATCTTACTATTTAGGAACAGAACTTGCTATCAGACTTAGAGTGAGTTTGGTCAAGATTTTTAGAATCAGGAAAGAAAACCTGTCTGATGTTTAAGGACAGTCTAATAGATCACATCAGGTACTAAGGGTAGTTAAAGAAATTGCAAAGTAGGCTGCTAATTCAGACTATATAAGATCTGTGGAAAATTTGCAGATGCTGTAGGAAATGTTGATGCAAAATGCAGTTGACCAAGTATGATGAATTAAATACTTGTTAATTATGCAACTTTTTTTTAATTGAAGTAACATTGGGTTATACCATTCTATAAGCTTCAGGTATATGCAACTCATCCTTTTTTAGAAAGTAGCATTATTAATATATAATTTACTATACAACTCACCCATTTGAATTAAATACTCAATGGCTTTAGTGTATTCATAAAATTGTACAATATTACAATCTAATTTTAGAACATTTTTGTCACATTAGCAGTCACTTCCCACTACTCTCACCTTTACCTCAAGTCCTAGGGAACTATAAATCTACTTTATGTTTCTATACATTTGCCTACTCTGGGCATTTCATATAAATGTGATTGGGTTCTTTCACTTTGTAGGAAACTATCAATATTTCATTCCATTTTTTGCTCCATAATATCCAGTTGCATGGCTATCTACATTTTATTATCCATTAGTTTATGAACATTTGGCTTGTTTCCATTTTTGACTATTACGAGTAATGCTACTATGAACATTGATATATAGGTTTTTGTGTGGGCATATTTTTTCAATTCTCTTTAAGTTTATGCCAGGAGAGAAATTTCTGGGCCACATGTTAACATGTATTTAACATTTTGAGAAATTGATGAAGTTTCTCAAAGTAGCTGCACCATTTTCATTCTCACCAGCAAAGCATGAAGGTTCTATTTTCTTCATATTCTGTTATTGTCTTTTTTTTTTATGATAGCCATCATGGTGAGTATGAAGTAGTATTTCATTGTATATTTGATTTATATTTCCCTAATGACTAATAATATTGAACATCTTTTCACATGCTTATTGGTCATTTCCTTCATATGGTACATACACTATTCCTACATTCCATTAATTAAATATTTTTTGAGCATTTCAGTGTTAGAAGTGAGCACATCAAACAGAAGTTTGAGCTCTCATGGAACATTCTGGTTGGGGGACAGAGACAATATAAAAACTAAGTGTGTAGAATGTTAGGGGGTGATAAGTACTATAGAGCAGTAGAGATTGTTGTGGATGAGACACAATTTTAAAGAAGTTAGAGAAGGCCTCACTAAGAAGGTGTCATTAACCTGATGTTTGGGTAAAGAAGGTGGTGATTAATAGAAACATGGGCAAAAGTAGGCTGAGGTAGTAGCACAAATGTCTTAAGGCAGGGGAATTCATTAAAAGAGTTTCAGTATGGTTGGAATAAAAAAAGTTGAAGAGTAGGGGAAAAGGAGGCAATCATATCTAATAGGATTTCACTGAGTGAGGTCCTAACGAGGATTTTCACAGGAGTAGCACGCTCTGACTTCTTAACAGGATTTTTGGAGCTGCATGTTTGTGCACATACATGGTTGAATGTTATTGGTGGCCACAATGATTGGAACCAGGCATGAAAAACACTGTAATACACAGAACGGTCTTCCACAAAATATCAGTAGAAACCCTTCAGGAAACATGGGAAAGAAACTGATGAGCTGAGAAATCCATCAGTGTAACAGAGAAATGAGTGACTGGGCTCAGGCTGGGCAGTGTGGGTGATAAAGAAAGGTGAAGTTTCTGCTTATATTTTGAAGTTGGGGTTGACAGAATATGGGCACATACCCAGAAGGGGATGTGGAATTTTGGGTGCTTACTTGTAAGTTATTTTAATTATACTCTTTGTCTTCTCTATTGCACACAAATTGTGTTATTTAGGTCAGCACTAGAGTACGTTTTGTCTTGATGTCGGGGCTGGCAGGACCCATTTAGAGCAGGCAGATTATGGGGGGGGGTTCATTCTACCTGTAACAATCTCACTTCTCAGTGATTTTGTTTCTGTGGAAGATGTATGGGTGTGTGTATGTAACGTTAAGTATTCCCTAGTTTTTTTAATTTTTTTAAATTTTATTATTTTTTAAAGATTTATTTATTTGTGCATACACAACTGGGGTACAGGCCAGAGGCTCAGGGGCGTGAGAGGCTTCACCAGAGACAGAGTGGGGAGCTGAACAGGCAGATCGACGAAGTACACTGCTGAGGGAAGCAGCGGGCGGGTCAGGAGAGATCTGGCTCGCCAGGTGGTCTCCTCCGGGGCAGGCAGGAATCGAACTCATGCGGAAGTGGCTTCAGATTCTCAGTGCTGTGCTTTAACCCGCTGCGCCACCAGGGAGGGCCTGTTTTATTTTTTAACAGGTTTAACATGCCACTATTTAGAATTCTAGGCAGTCTGGGGGCCGGGAGTGTGGGGGGCGCGGACTGCGGGTGTGTGTGTGAATTTTTAGCCTGGAGACGCAGGATTCCTTCCAGTTCCAGGCCATCAGATCTTTAAGGGAAGAACCCCTTAAAGCACCAATGTAGCCCCTCAACCCGCAAGCTGTACCACCTCCTTCGCCGCCCAAAGACCCAAGTTCTGCGTGATGTCCCAGATACTTCCCAGCCTAAAGCCGCGGTCCGTTCCTCCTCCCTCCCGGCTCCCCGCGGCACCAGCGGTCACCCTGCCCCCACCGCCGCAGCCTGGGCCAGCGGGGCCCGCAGCGCTGGCGTTCGCGGGCTCTGCCGCATTGGCCGCTGCGGCAGCGATCGCACAGCTTGGGGCGGCGGCCGTGACACAGACGCGGGTGCTTTCGGGTGGCGCGGCAGCCGGGTCCAGGCGCGCGCCCACCCATGGCCCTCGGGCTGCCGCCGGTGCGCCCATCCCCGCGCCGAGCCTTGCCCGCGGGCCCCGGGTCGCGGAGCCCCCCACTGGGGCGAGATGCTGAACGGCTCCGGCCTGGACAAAGCTCTTAAGATGTCCCTGCCCCGCAGGTCGAGGATCGGCTCCTCAGTGGGTGAGAAGGCAGCGGCGTGGGGCCGGGAGGGTCGGCCCCGGCGGGGGCGGGCGCGGGGACAGGCGGGGCGCCCGCGCGCTGTTATATGACACTGCCCCGCCCTCCGTCCTGCCTCCCCTTCCCTGGGGCCCTCCGGCCGCGCGGGTCGGCGGACGCTGCGCGCTGCCCTGGCTTGGGTCACCACACATTTATGATGCCAATAAAATCCAAAGTTCGGCCAGGGGTGGGGGGCGGCAAAGACCCCTGGGCCTCCCCCAGTACAGGTGCGCGCGCGCACCGTGTGTGTGCATGCGTGTGTGTGCGTGCCTGTGTATGTTTGTGTGTCCGCGCGTGCGCATGCCCGTCCGTCCCTGCGGCGAGCGGCGGACTGGACTGTGGTCCGCGAGAAAGCCCGCGGCAGGTCTCGGCTGGACGCCTTCGCTGCCCGCGCGCTTGGGTGGGCGCCGGAGACAGTCTCGCTTCGCCCGCTACCTGGCCTCCTGGCCTCTGAGAGGTTGCTGCAGTTTCAACCAAGGGGTCACAGGAACATTTCTCATGACTGGGATCCTCGGGCTTCTCTCTCACACAGCCAGCGCGGGTCAGCTCGAGACCGCCGCGCCGACGTTCCATACTCTTTGCAGAAACGCGTGGTACTTCCCCGCGCCCCAGATCCCCTTCCTTGCGAGCCTGCGCCTGGAGTTAGATGCCAGTGTTTTGTTTCTTGTATAACATTTAGAAAGCAGCATGTTGTTGCTGCATGCTATGTGATTGTAATACATGGTTCCCTCAGCCCTTAGATAATAAAAAATTGAAGGGGAGATTCAAATATGAGTTGATTTCCTACCGTTTCAGGATTTCAGCAAGTAAAGATCTAGGGCTTGCAGTTTGGAATTGCAATGACGTTTAATCTTCGTGGTTATTATTAAGATTATTTTTATTAGGCAGATAAAAATTAAGTGACTTTCCTATTTCTGTAGTTGAGTGATGTGAGAGAGGACAGCACATCAGGCCATCTAGACCAGTGCTTTCTTAACTTGAGTAATACATGGAAGGACACCTTAAGGTCATTTTGAGGAGAAGGTCATGGGGACTGGCTGTGGGGAACCAGGGCTGAAGCAGGGCAATGGGCAGGGGGCAGCGGTGACTCAGGCATCTGTGGGAATCATAAGATGGGTGATGGGGGAAAATGGGCACTTCCTCCATGTCTGAAGGCAGAACCAACAGCATTTGCTCATCCTTTGAATGTAAGGCGGAAGATGGCTTGGTAGTCTTTGAGCTGAGCAAATGGAGAATGTACCATTTACTGAGATGGGGTAAAATGGAAAGAACAGTACTTTCTTTTGTGGAGCAAGAGTTAGGGATTTGGCTTTGAGCATGTGTGAAATGCCTACTAGAGAGCCAAATGAGATGTTTAGGGGAGAGTTGGACATATGAGCCTGAGGCTAGGGGAATATTCTAGACCAGGGGGATGTAATTAGGAGTCCCCAGCAGCATCTGCTCGTTGGAGAGTAAACTGCAGTTGCCCAGGGCCTGCCCTGGAAGAGCCTGGCATTAGCTTTCATGCTCTGCTGCTGCTATCTTGTATGTCTTAATCATTTTTGAGCAAGGGGTTTGCATTTTAACATTGCACTGGTCTCAGCAAATGGTGTAATCAGAGGGTACATATGTATTTGAAAAGAGAAGGATCCTAGGGCAGAATTCTGGGTATCCCAAGATTTCAAGGTCCCAGAGAATAGGGCAACAGCAAAGGGGCTGAGAAGATATATAGTAGGGATCAGAGGAAGACCGAAAGAGGAATATTCAGGTCACTGAGGCAGATGTCAGGAGTGAGGGAGTATCCCTCTGGGTACAATGCAGTTGAGATCTCAGGAAAGGTAAAGTCTAAGAGCTGTTTGAGTTAGAATGTAGAGGTCACGGGTGACTTTGAAAAGAGCAGTTTTTGTATAATCATAGGGGATAATGTCTATGGAACAGCTTCGAGAGATACTGAGATTACAGTTGTACAACTGATAACATGAATGTCATAGTGAAGGTTTTTTCACTTGGAAGGTAGTGATCTGAGATCAGCAGTGAGGATGGTTGTCAGGGCAAAGCAATGACGGCAAGAGCCCAGGGGTGGCAGATGCAGGGCTTCTTGCTGATGGTAGTCTTCAAGGCCCAGAAGACACTAAGGATGGTTTAAGAGATGGGAGTTTATGTATTTACATGCTGCATGAAGTAGAGGGGGACCTGATAGTATGAGCTTCCTGTGGTAACCCCTAGGCATCTGAGGGCTAGTTTGGATGATCAGTAGGCAGCTAGGGATGGTGAAGCTGAGAGTACTGCTATAGGAGTCCCGGGCTCTGGAACCTCCCTCTTCTTTCCACTCTATAGAAGTGTAGAGCCAGAAGTGGGACATTGCCATCAACAGAATTAATACCCAAAATTTTGTGCATCTTTTGCTCATCTTCAAAATGCTTGTCTCTTTTTTTAGTTCTTTACTCCTTCATATGTATTTTTTAAAGAGCCTTTTCTGAAAACAAAACCAATTCTTTTAGAATTTTGGATAACTTAACAATAGGTTTATAGCTTAATCTGGAAAAAGTAGATTTTTAAAAACATTAAGTCTTCATAAGTTAAAAACATGATATCTCTCCTCATTGACATATGTCTTTCTTTCTAATTGAATGTCTTTATTTTTTTTAAACTAGTTAGAAGTCATTGTAAAAATCAAAATGACAGATTTGATGTGTTCATTTCTTTGCACATTTGAGTATGCATGATGATTTAGTTGTTTATTTATTCTGGCTAAGATATATTTCCCTTCCCTCTTAAGCTCAAAAACCTGAATTTGTCATTGAGGTGTCCTTTTTTTTTTTTTTTACTATTATTTACAAAATATATTAGCTTGTTGACTAGTCTGCTATGTAAATGCCAAATATTTGTCTTTGTTATTGACTAGCTTTACTAACCATTATCTCCCCAAACTTCTGACATCTGCTGTAAATCACAGAATTTCATCTTTCCTTTTGGCTGAGTAGTATTACATACTGTGGCCATCCCACATCTTCCTAATCCAGTCTTTTATTTGTGTTTAGTGTGTTTAGTTAGGTTGCTTCCCTATCTATGCTTGCTGGTTAATTTCTGGCAGGATCAGCTAGTTTCTAATTTTAATTCCAAATGGCTTAGTTCAGTAACAGACCTAAACTGAACAGAATATGGCATTCATTCTATACTGTGTTCTGTTCCTCAAAAGGAAATAAAGAACAGGGTCTAATAGCTTCTGCTTCCATATTCTATACTGTCATTCCTGTGGTTCCTCACTAAGTGAAGATTTGACTATGTCAGGGCTTCTTTTTGCACTGGTCTAACAGTCTAGGTTATGTTTGGAAATTTCTTTGAAGTAGTCTATACAGGGGTTAAAACACCAACTGTTAGCGGTAGAGAGAAATGGAGACAGATGTTGACAATTATTTACTACCTGTATGATAATATTTTTTATTTTTAAAAAAGATTTATTTATTTATGCATACAGAACTGGGGTACAGGCCAAAGATGTGGGGGTGAGAGTATTCACCAGAGACAGTGGGGAGCAGAACAGGCAAATATACTGGAAACACGCTGAGGGAAGCAGTGGGCAGGTCAGGAGAGGTCTGCTGCACCATGTGAGTTATCTCCCTGGAGGGGGATTGAACTTATGCTTCAGTGACTGCAATAGTTTCATAGTGCTGTACTTTAACCATTGTTGCCACTAGGGAAGGCCCTACCTATACGATATTAAAAAGCTCCTACTTCTATTAAAGATGAAGATGAAAATAAAATTTGTACTTCATAGGGTTATTGTGATTAGGGAGTAATGTATATTAAAGTGCATGTATCAATTATTTTGCTACATCAAGAGGACTTTATGATGTAATCAAGCTTATATTGACAATATGTCAGATTTTTCTCATACTGCCCATCATCCTCCAAGGGAAACTCCTCTACCTAAACACTTATCCTGCATAATAGCAGAGTTGGCGAAAACTTCACTTGTCATTATTTTCCCCTCTTACTCTAATGATGTAAGCCTAACTAGATGACCACATGCAGTTGTTATTGGGAAGTGTTCTTTTGCATCATTTTCCATGTGTACGTGATTACCTACTGGTTACTCTGTTATAAAGGGGCATCCTTCTATGTCTCCAAAGGTTATCACCTTCTGTTAAAAATGGTCCTGCCTTCAAAGCCATCTTTTACCCTCAGGTGGCCAATAAGCATCTCAGTTGATGACTTCAGTTGTTTAATAATTCATTGATTTGACTTTTACAATGGATGTTTTATCTTAAACCCTCATCTGACAAAGGTGCCAGCTAGACAAATGGATTAAATTAAAATTATTCTCTATAAAGGTTTTAAAAATTTATGGGAGGATGTGTATAGAGCACCTTTAAAGATGGGCTTCTACCTTTCCTCCTTGGATCTTTACATTTGCTAAATATAACCTCTGGTCAATACCAGATACTGGAGACAAGATGTTATTTACATCCATTTAGACTCAGAGAAAATGTTAACAACCACTAAATAAGGCTAAAAATAAAAGTGATCTCATATCCATATCCTGGAAGTTTTTCCTCTTCCTCATCAAGGGCAAATACAGAATTAGGACCTAGGAGAGAGCCCCTTACTTGGATGGAGTCTTGCTAAAATGGGGGTGGTTAGTTGCAAATGTAAAAAACCTGAGAGCACACAGGGGTACAGTCACAAGTGGCCCTGGGTTCTACTTGCATAAAAGTGTTTGTGCAAATGACTAATACTGTTCATTCATCAACAGTGATTTGGGAGGGGCTCGGTGTCTGAATTACCATAGGTCAGTGTGTGTGCATGCGTGTGTACTATTTATGTGCAGAAGCCTTTTGCCTGAGTGTCCACCTCTTATCTCCCTTACTGCCTCTCCGTAATACTGATAATCTGATCTATCATCAAGTTTCAAATGTATTCTAATACTGATTAATTTTGATTTGGAGTTGTTATATTGCAAATATGTTCTCTACTCTTTGGGA